ACAAAGTTTACATGATTGCATGTAGCTTATGTTGTGGTGTTATTCCTCTCTCCAAGATGATTGTGTTTTAGTTATTTTAGTCAAAATTTACCAAAGGGGGAGATTGTTAGTTCCATGGTTTTATGATTGGCTAAATTTTGGTAAAATATGGTTTTATACTAATGTTGAGTAAGATGTTGTAACATCTTTATAAACTGTCATAATAGTTTTCCTGTTATGTGTTTCAGTAAGATGTCGAAGACAAATGTCATGACATCCTGGTCTGTGTATAAAAAGTGTTGTTGTTGGGTATATCTTGACATATTTAATTTGATTTGATGTGGTCCTTTTGGATATATCTCATCATTTGTGTAGGTCAAGAAGATTATTTAGGAATAAAGTGAAAATTTGATTTATTTCATTAAAAAGGATCTATGATACTTTTTAGGAAACTATAAAAGGATTTGTTCCTATTTTTATATGAAGATCTTGTAGCTGATTTAAAAAGTGAAGATTGGATCTGATTTGAAGAGTCCAAGCCCATACTGCAAGAGTGTATAAATAAGGATTTGCTATCACCTAAAATAGAAAGCATTCACATAGAAGAAATTGTGTGTGCAACATAAGGATTAGGGTTTTGGGAGTCTTTTAGGTTCTTATTATTTGTGTTCTTTATGTATCACTTATGTATCTTTGACGCATTGAGTTGACTGTTTGTTGCTTGTTTATCCAGCTATTATTCTCACTCATGAGTTTTTAAGCAAATAGTTGAGTATTGTTCTTAATTGAAGTTTTTAAGCAAAACTAAGTATTGTTTATTTGAAGTGTAATATTCTATTGGATTTTTAAGTCTAGTCACAAGGTTTATGGCTATAGGTATATCACCGTGGTGATTGAAAGTGAGAGGGGGATCTCATATCTAATGGTCTCTAGGTAGAAGTTGCACAAGATAGTGATTAGGCGAGAAGTTGTAAAATAGGATTGGTTTATCTTTGAACTAATACTATCATAGTGTATTTCCTTCCTGGCTTGGTAGCCCGTAGAGTAGGTGACGTTGCACCGAACTGGGTTAACAGTTGATTGTGTTATTTAAATTTCTACAATTTATCTTTATGTACAATCAAAATTTTCAGCAGGTTTTCTGTCAACAGATGTTATAACATATGTCCTGACATTGTGTTTCTATGTTAAGACATCAGTCTTGACCTTTGTATCGCAAGTGCCTGAATTTCAGCATTGAACAATAAAATTTATAAATTCACTGTGATTCCAAACACATGTGTAATGTTTTAGGTTATTGGATGATAAATCACACAAACACTTGTTCAACGAAGGATATACCATTTTTTACAGAAAAATTAGACTAACAATCATCCATAAAAACAAGAGTGGTTCTATTTAAATGTCTATATATTGACACTGTATTATAACACTGTATACAAATATATTTAGACTAGAATAATTTTATTGGATCAAAAAGGGGATAACTCATGACAAAGCAACCAAACCAGGTGTAACAAAATTAGGTGGGCACATACCGGGCCACCCGACTGGGACTAGGTTGCCCCTATCAATATAGGATATGTGCCTCATCTATTCTCTGCACTTGACTAGTGGGATATCCCAGAGATAGTGACTAGAAAGGTTACCGTCAAAGGGGGGAAAATATTTCCTCCACGTTTTGAGTAAGAATCGGTGTTCACTGTTTCCACAAACTAGGAGAAAATTATTTCTCTCCTTTTGATTCGGTTCAAAGGTTACCCATAAATACTTCAACCCTGAGGCTTGGAGGATTCATTCACAAATTCCACAAAACCCTATTATACATACTTAGAGTCTTTTAGCTTCTGCATGTGAGTTAACTATATCCAACATATATTATATGTTGTGCCCGTACAAATGATGCCCACCACGGGACCTCGATAAAACTGACCTAGGCCACACCTCTACTTATTATATAGTCGCCTAAATCACCTTCATCAACATGGTGAATCAACGAGGCAGAACCATAAATACTAGTTTCGGTCTCGACGACCAAGAAACCTTAGCTAAAATGTGTGCTAATATGAAAGAGCTATGTCATTCTAATCAAACCCTAGAAGCAAACATCTTGACCTTTCGGGAACGACACCATGAGATTTCCAAGAAGAAAACTATGTTCTGGACCCCTAGCTTCTCTCAGAGGAGATCTAGGGCACTCTAGTACTAAAGAATTTCAAACCCCCATCACTAGTGAAGTTCAAAGAAAAAAGAGACCACTTAGAGCATATCGTCGCAATTAATACCTAGATGGGGCTCATTAGTGTATCTTGTTCTTTGACGTACAAACTCTTATCTAGAACTTTCAAGGTGCAACTATGAGGTGGTTCATGAATCTCATTCGCCTCCTAGTTATTAGTTACCACAGTCTATACAAGAAGTTGGTCCACTAATTCCCTGTGAGTAAACACCGTAAGATGCCTTTCTCTAGTATATTCAGCGTTTGTCAGGGATAGTTTGAATCGCTGAGGGAGTATCTCCCTCGTTTCAATGAGATGGCCATCAAGGTCATTCACCTAAACCAAGAGATGTTCATGGGAGCATTCTAGAACAACTTAAGGATTAATCATTTCAATGAATAGCTCTCTCAGAAGTCTGCTGTTTCCATGAATGAAATCATGGATCGCGTTGAATGTTACACCAGGAGTGAAGAGAGCAATGTAAAAAAGAAAGCTAGAAATGTGAAAGAGTGCGCCTATGGCGTATCCAACTCATCATAACAGTCACACAAGAGTCAACATACCTTATATGTTAGGAACATGACGACTTTCGAGCAGAATGAGAGGTCATCTGATAACTTCATGCCTTTGAACATCAGACGAGAAAAGATCTCGCGTGAGGTGCTTCACACGCATAATATTTCACCTTCACCGGTCCCTAAGATAAATATAATATCATTTATATTTGTTGATGTGACAAAAAAAATACAATAATAAAAATAACACTATATGTAAAACCGTATAAAAATATGTTGTCGAACACGTAAAAAGTGTCCGAATAACATTTATCAAACATTAAAAAAAAAGTTAAACTTCCAATACAAATATCATAAAAAGAAAATATTTGGTGACAGATTTTTTTATCAAACATTAAAAAAAAGTTGAACTTCCAATACAAATATCATAAAAAGAAAATATTTGGTGACAGATTTTTTATCAAACATTTAAAAAAAAAGTTGAACTTCCAATACAAATATCATAAAAAGAAAATATTTGGTGACAGATTTTTTTAGTCACAAACAAACATCATAAATGTGTAGAAATTATCTTTAAAAAATCTAATCAATAATTGTACCTTATATCACAGTTTTTGATATGTACCAGAATTTTAGATCACTTTGGACCACTATTATTTTCTAATTTATTTAGGATATTGCAAGTTGAGTCTTGTTTGATTCTCTTTGTCCTTTAAAATATGGTTTCTCCCAAATGAAAAGCACATAAGAAGTTTGATATAATTTTCATGTATTAAGTCTAATTTATCTTTACAAAAATCTTTAGTGGTCCAAGTGTCCTACCCTTCTCGAACTTGGTTTAATATATGTCGATGAAATTGAGGGCAGGGCAAGTTGTTTTGTTTATTTGTTGATGATTTTCTCTTATTATCTCCAACTGAAAAGTAGGAAAGAAAGTGAAGTTATAGTAATATAACACCATGAATGGGGGGTATCCCACTAACGAAAAGGTTGGCATATTAAAACATCAAGACCTAACTTTTTTGTTGCTGTGTCTACAAAGACAGAAAATGACCTTGATAGTTATATCCATGTAAAAGAATATATCAAGTTATCTTAATTAAGGGATCAAAAGTATATCCATCAAATTTCCATTTTCTCTATTCTCAAAGTCTGTCAACAGTTTATTGGCCCTTCTTTTTCCTCTTTAATATATCTAATAATATCTAATATAGTAGGTGAAAAATCAATTATTTGGTCTCTAGTGAGAAATGAACTTCCAATGAATAAACTCAACAAAAAAAAATCCTAACAGTTTAGTGATTAAACTCACATATAAAGACTAAGTTGAAAATTTCAAATTTAAACTCAGATTCTCGAAAATTAACAACCTTACAACTACTATTGAGTTGAGAGTCTTGTCAAATTTTCGGAGGTCTTGTGCATGTTAACTGCAGTTTAGCCATTAAAAAACAAATAAAGTCCTACTTAACCACGATTTAATCTTGAAAATATTTTGTGAGATTCTATTTAACTATATTTTAACTGTGACAAATGTCAGGTCCTGTACAGTAGTTTTTTTTGCACGTCCTCAAAACGATCCTGATTGAGGCGTGTGTTTAACTACTCCCTTGATACATATAATGCCACACTCTCTTGATTTTTTTGAATATGTATGTGAATCTTGCACATGACCAAGGAACATGATGAAACAAGAGATAATGGTAGACATAATACACATGCAAGTTGATTTGATGAAATGTGTGTATATATGATATAGTACTATTTTTGCAAAAAAATAATATAATTTTCCTTTTTGAATAAGGGAACAGAGAAGCTGAAAAAAATATCACATAACATAAATAACATAATCCTTTGAGACTAACATTATTGTAGTAGAGAATCTCCCAAAAAGAGGCAACAAAACAATAGGCTTCCAATGAAGGCTTAACACATTTATTCTAAACAATTGGATTTTAGCCTAAGAATCTCCTTTCTTTTCTCTTTTCAACTTGTTTTCCCTGTCTCTCATATAAATATAGATATATATGTACATGAAGATATTTCCTCAACACCTGTTCAGTTACACAGGCTCAAGATAGCAGCTACTGAGGCTAAACTGCTAAAGTACAACACTATTGTCCTAAGAATCTTGCATTGAGGTTGGTAAACTATGGAGTACTTCCTTTTGAGAATAATAAAGATCAAGAACTTGTCAGCAGAATGAAGTTGCACTGATATTAACTGTCATTCTCATAACAGTGCATCAACAGAATGAAAATCTGATGTATTTCAATGCAATTGGCAGTTAGGATCCTTCGTGGAAGGTACGAGACCGCGATAAAGCTGCAGGGTTGGCATACATCATCGGCGACGCTTCAACCGAGTGATTATTGTCCTTTCCCTTGGATTGAAATGCATTGAACATGCTTCCTCCATTGAGGGAGTTGGCTTTGTCATTACTGATTCCAAGCTTTGACCATAAGGAACTCTTGGCAGCTTCGTTTGGATCATCGAATCTAAGTGTTTTTGGGGTCAAAACACCCCTTTCGGTATTATTGTGTTCTTTATCAGGCTGTTCTTGACGTGAGTTCACCGAGGTAATGATGTTTCCATCCCTCGAGTGTTTTCCCAAAGTAGGTGAATACTGCGGAGAGTCACTTTGGTTAACAGAAGGACTATTTGGTGAGAGACATGGTATATTCCATGGAGGTGGCACACAACCCCAATACGCCGGTGGAGGATAGAATGCTAATGGATAGTTTGGTGGACAAAATGTAGGAGGAGGCATTGCAGAATTCCATGGATAAGGCAAAAGGGGACTTTGAATATATTGCAATTGAGGAGGGAAGCCTTCAACTCTTTTATCCATTGATACATTTGTGTCTGTGTGAACTTTCCTCTCTGAAGAAGTTGAAGTTGTAACAGAAACTCCAATCGAGTGATCGTCTTCCCCGCTATAGGAAACAAAAGTATTTGGTGGTCCAGTTGGATAATGAAAGCCATTTGGTACACAATTTGGTGTCCTCTCTCCAATTTTCAATACAGAACTCATGGTATTACAAAGAGGCGAATCTGAATCGAACGCCAAGACAGAACCATGTAATCCATTAGGGGAATTAACCTTAACTCCTTCCGGAATGATCAGATGTCTATAATGTGCGGTAGGCGAGGTCTTGTTCTTGCGGCGCCCTGCACCAACCGGAACATTTCTCATTGTTCCTCCTGCAGTCCAATATCTTTGACATTTCTTGCAAAAATGACGGGGCTGGTTGACATTGTAGTTGTTGAAGTAACAAAACTTGGTGTCCATGCTATTGCATCGCGGACATGGAATTATTTTGTCGGGTTTCTTCAGGGTTTTATCTTCTGAAACACTAGCCTCACTTTGTTCTCCATTTGTAGAAGCTTTTGGTAATGAATTTTCGGTTTCGGCTGAGGGAGTCTTCGGAGGATTCTCAAGCATGACTGAAGATGCTGCAGGTGATTTTAAATCCTCCGCGGTTTGTTGAAAGGCTTCTTCATCTTGTGCTGTGGATAGTTCTTTCCTTGATGGTTCCTAAAACAATGAACATGATTAACATGAGAAATACTAATTTATCAAACAAACAAGAGAATTTACAATGAGGGAACTCATAAACTCAATAGAAGTATAAACAAAAAACAAAAGTGTTATCATTTAAGCTCAAAGTGAATTCACACCAAGTGAAGCTAGAGTCCTAAGTATGGCACGAGAAAACGGTTTGATCGAAAAACTAATCCATGGTATTTATTAAAATTTGAGTCTTGTAAGACGCGAAAATTAGCCCCGCTTACGAACATATGTTTAGACAATCTCTGTCTCTCTTATCTAATGTGAGACTCTTAACCGTATTTGGAAATTTTATACCAATAATATGTGCAAGAACAATTTTAACAAATAATTCATCTTAGATGATGTAACAAGGTCACAAATAATTTAGACAATTGTTATTTTGATAGAGAATAGGTACTTGAATATGGACAAAAAGTGTCTAACCAAAATAGTTAAGCTACAATAACAGCCCATAGGTTTAAAAGCAACTTGACTAGAATTTAGAGAAATATGAAATCCACAAAAACAAAAACTTCAAGGCAAAGAAATATCCATATAACTTCTGTGATGTTACAAAATAAGAAAAAAAATGCAAAAAAAGAGGACTTTTATTTTTTTGTGGAACTTGTTAATAAAGCAAAATCATTGACTTCAAAACTAGAAAAAATTGATAAAACCAAAGGAACACAAATTAACCACACAATATATTCAATATTATATGCTCAAAATTATATTCTAGATTCGATCCAATTACTTTGATAGAAACCACAGAATCAATTTCTGCCACAAATTAATAGAATATTTCAAAAACTTCAAAAAAAAAACTCATGGTAGCCATTGAGAATTGAAGCAATCCTAAATTCTAAATTCAATTGACATAAAAATAAAATTTTTGAACAAACCCATTAACAATAAAGAGCTTAAGAAAAATGGGTTGGGATTAGATTTACGAAAAACTTGCTCTCTTTTTTTTTCTGTTCAATTTTCATCACAGAAACTGAATCAGAGATGAATTGCAGAGATGAAGCATACCTCTTGTTGTATTGCAGAGATGAATTGTGGTGGAGAAGAAGAAGGAGAGGAAGATGAAGAGTCATTAGATATGATGAGTGGAAGAGGAATTGTTCTTCCAAATAGCTTTATTGCAGGGTCTTTAACCTCTGACATTTTCTGTTTGATGATCTGAAAAACTGTATCTTTTTAGAAAAAATGAGGGAAAAAATGAATATATAGAAGTTGTTGAAACTTGAAGTGTTTTTTTTCTTTCAGTAACTTTAATTTTATGTCATTTTGTGCAGTTAATTGTTATGAGAAAAAAATGATCAGAGAGAGAGAGAGAAAGAGAAGGAGGGAAGACAGAAATTTTGGTGTGTGAAGTGAAGTGGTTTGAGTTTGAAGGTTTTATTTATTGTTGTTTTATTAACTAAGGTTGGTAAGAGAAAATATGGTGCCACTTCAGCAAAAGGAGAGAATTGTGAGCCACAAGTTGTTGTGGCCTATGAGATCTTGAATGCAGTTGGATTCCCTCACATCCTTTGTAAAGATAGTGCTATTCTGTCACATCCCTTTTTCCTCCCTGTCAGCACTTTCAATTTTTTTTTGCCTTTTTGCATATTACTCTTTTCAACTCTTTATTTCAATCCTATATACTAGTGGTCAAGTTTGCTTCTAAGTCTTAGCTTCTCTATTTGACTTGAAATTTTTATTTCTTTTAGCTACATATTGATCATAATCTTTGAACAATGGCAATTGATCAAGATAACAAAAAGAAAGTTTTGACAATTGAGAGCTCTTAATAGTGGTTGAATTAGGTTTAATCAAAACTAAAACTATGGAAAAATATGTTTATTTGTATTTTAATTTAGGTTGAATAAATTTGTGTAAATTCAAATTAAATGCGTCTACCAATTGTTTGTAGGTTCAGTAGTGATTAATGTTTGACTTGGTAAGAAGAACCACAATTTAATCTTCACAACCGAGATCAGGAGGGGACGAAAATCACTTGATAGTAAAATTGATCTCTGAACCAAATTAGATTGATCCCTTAATTTTTAAAAGGGTTAAATAAGTTTTTGATCCCTCTAAATATCTTAAATTTCGTTTTTAGTCCTTCTAAATTTTTCTTTCAAAGAATGGTCCTCCTAAAAAATTAAATTTTAACTTTTTGTCCCTACTGACAAAATCGTAGCTAAAATGGTCTCTAATTTTGTTGCTAAATAAAAATCGTCGCTAAAACCGTTGCTAAGTTGTAAAAACTGTCGCTAAATTGCAGGAGAGACTAAAAGTTAAAATTTAATTTTTTAGGAGAACCATTCTTTGAAAGAAAATTTTAGAGGGACTAAAAATGAAATTTGAGATATTTAGAGGGACCAAAAACTTATTTAACCATTTTTAAAAAGATCAATATAATCCTTTATGTCTTCAAACAACGTCATTTAAATCCTTTTCGTCCAATTCTCACAAACATTGTTTATATTTGCATGTGTGACATTCGACGTGGAGGTTGAGATTGAACCCAGATTTTTTGTTCGACTGTGTTCTAGATGATTTTACGAGGCTAACAACTCTCACACGGGTAAGTATTTATGCAAATTGAAAGAGAAAATTGAAAATCAAAATTGAAATTGAAAAACAACTGAAAATCAAAAATAAAATCGAAAGAGAAATTAAAATCGAAAGATAACAGGAAATCGAGGAATGGTTGCAACAACAATTTATTATGAGTTTTCCTAAAGAAGATAATTTAATTGAAATAATAGAGTTTTTTATTTCACAAGTGGACAATTGTCCAGTTGGTGGAGGCGTGTCCTCTCTTGCTATAGGTCACTAGTTCGACTCTTGGAATTTTGATGACTTTGGTATGAACATATGACATTTGTGAGAATTAGACGAAAAGGATTTAAATGACACTGTTTGAATACATAAAGGACTACATCGGTCTTTTTAAAAATAAAGGGACCAAATTGGACCCCGAGATAAAGTTAAATGACTAAAAAAGGTATTTTGCCTATATTCTACTACAATAAAAAATCAAAGAATATTTTTTTAGTGTAAAATTTGTTCAACAAGACAACTTGATCAATTTCAGTGAGGAGAATATTACCGTCAGTTACAAAATTTCGCTTAACTGTGTTGAATTTGATGGGAAATTAAGACAAAATAACAGAATAATACGCAGCAAATATATAATTCCCCACACTTATAGGAATCTTGAGGATCAACAACAAACATAAGACAACAAACCGAACAAATAAAGGCACAAAATAACACCGATATTTTTAACGTAGAAAATCCCTCATATGAGAGTAAAAATCACAAGTCGTCCATACCAAAGAAATAGTTGTACTATAAGCAATTAAGGTTACAAGAGAGTCTTAAAGTGATTTACAAAAAAGTAATAACAACCGCAAATTACAAAGTAAACTATCTTTCAAATAAGAATCCAAAAAGATGAAAAATTACCTAAATTAGTAGCTTTAACGCGAAGCAATTATCTCTCAGCTCAGACTTTGTTTTGAAGATCCCAAAGGTCAAAAGTTAGATATAGGTGTTGCAAACCTATTCTCAAAATTTGAGCTCGATCTAATGGCTAACAAACTGGGAATCGTCGATTTAGTGAGACTGGTGTAGAAAAACGAGAATGAGTATCTCATTTTCTCTCTCTTTTGAATCATTATTTTCTCTGTATTTCTCTTAACCCTAAATTAACACTCTCCACTTAAATAAGTGAGACAAATGAGCTATTTATATTTGGGTTTTTCTCCACATTAGAAGGGAGCCAAAGCCCAACAAATCCCCTGGAGGAAATCGCCAAACCGGCAATATCACAACAAGCTTCAAATTTTCCTCTTCATAATGCTTTAGTCACCATATAAGAACCATTATTGTATGTATGAACTTTAGCTAACTCCAACAACTTAGCCTCCAAAACATCATGTATCCAATGATATCTCACACTAATGTGTTTGGACCTATTATGAAAAGTCGGATTCTTACTAAGATGAATAGATCTTTGACTATCAACAAATAACACATATTTGTCTTGAATAAAATCAATCTCCTACAAAAATTTCTTCAACCAGAGTACTCTTTGAATGCTTTGGTAATGGAAAATACACAACTCTCCCTGCAAATTTAGTCATGTAGCATGAAGTAGACTTTATAGAATCATTGTCTACAGCCATATCAGAGTCAGAGTATCCCACTAGAGTAGACTTATCTCCTCTAAAGAAAATCCTCATACAAGTAGTACCGCAAAGATACCTTAAAATTTATTTTACAGTATTCCAATACTCTATACCTGGATTTAACAAAAATCTACATATTGTACCAACATCATGTGCTATATCTGGTCTTGTACACACCATTGCATACATCAAACTATCCACAATAGATGCATAAGGAACATATTTTATAACAAACTCTTCATCATAACTTGGAGGACTTTGATTAGAACTCAATTTGAAATGAGTAGCAAGAGAAGTGCTTATCACCTTAGAACTTTCCATTTGGAATATTTGTAGCACTCTTTCGATATAATGTTCTTGTGACATCCAAAGTTTCTTCTCTTTTTTGTGACACATAATTCTAATGCCAGGAATCTATTTAGCTACTCCCGTGTCTTTCATGGAAAATGACTCTCCCAACTGCTTATTTAACATGTTAATGTTAGAAATATTTCCCCCTACAATAAGCATATCATCAACGTATAACAACAGGACAATAAAGTCATCATTAGAAAATTTTCTGACAAAGATGCAATGATCTGAAGTAGTCTTATGGTATCCTTGATCACACATAACAAACTCAAACTTCTTGTACCATTGCCTTAGAGCTTGCTTTAACCCATATAGTCTCTTTCTCAATCTACAAACATGATCTTCTTTTCCTTTAACTTGAAAACCATTGAGTTGTTTCATGTAGATCTCTTCCTCCAAATCACCATAAAAGAAAGTCGTTTTCACATCCATTTGCTCAAACTCTAAATCAAGAGTAGCAATTAAACTCAACACGGTTCTGATTGATGACATCTTTACAATAAGTGAGAAAATCTCATTAAAATCAACACCCTTTCTTTGACAGAAAGCTTTCACCATTTATCTAGATTTATATATTGGAGACATATAATTTCTCTCAAGTTTAACTATATAAATCCACCTGTTTTCCAAAGCCTTTTTACCTTTAGGCAACTTCACTAAATCATAAGTGTGATTATCATGTAATTATTTCTTCTCGTCATGCATTGCATCGAACCACTTTTGATTTTCATCACTTTTTATGGCCTCTTGAAAATACTCAGATTTACCCTCATCAGTCAAGGTCACATACTTATTAGAATTCTACCTTGTAGAAGATTGTCTCTGACTTATAGATCTCTTAAGTTGAATTTGAGATGATTCTGAAGCTTCACCAAGATTCTTATCTTATGACATATCTCTCTCCCCTTCACATCATTAGTTGGAATATTTACCTCATCTCCAAGTTGTTGATTATCAACATAATCATATGATTCACCATTTTGATCATCACCATCGATAACATCTTGATTATGATTAGGTAACCTAACTGCATCAACATTAGACAAACTAATATCTTTCTTGGGTGTAGTCTTCTCTATCTTTTCAATGTCTTCGATATTTACCCTAATAGAGTTGAGTTATTCCCAGCCATGAGCAATGATACCAAACATTTGTTTCTGGTCATAAGTACTGATGTCAATCATTCATTTACTAGTCTCGAGGTTGATGTTTACCGTCATCTCTAAGCCGATATTATCTTATTGTTTCTATTCACGTCCTTGTGGTCGGTAGCTTCCGATCCCCTGTGAGTCGATGCTACTCTCTTTTTGCTATCTCTTCTATGTGTGGGTAGTTCATAGTTATATATCGGTCGATGTTACCCATTGTTTTTTTCCTTATTTTGTTGAGTTGATGATACTTTGTCTCTTGTTTGGGCTTTACCCCAGTAGACTTGAGTCTTCTTTTCCCCAGTGGAGTTTATTTTCCTCCAACGGAGTTAAGTCTATTTCCCCAGTCGAGTCAGTAACTCTTTTTAGTGGTTACCTCCATTTTAGGTTGTTGCTTGCATTGTTAAGAATTTTCGTCATTGAAATCTTACTTTGCATTTGTTTTCTTTAATCGTGATTTTTTGGTTTTGCCTATTTATAG